CGAGTATCTCTCTTTAAAGTGGGCTGTCACAGAGAAATTTTTTGATTATCTCTACGGAGCGAAATTCACTGTTGTGACAGACAACAACCCACTGACGTATGTACTGACGTCTGCCAAGCTTGATGCTGCAGGCCACCGCTGGCTGGCTGCCCTTTCCAGCTTTGACTTTAACATCCAGTATAGAGCTGGGAGGAAGAACCAAGATGCAGACGGTCTCTCAAGGCGTCCACATCCTCATGACGAATACCAACCTGACTTCACTTCTCAGGATGAGGATAATCGCATTCAGCGCTTCCTTGCCCAGTTCCTACAGGACGACAGAGGAGCTGATTTTCCATCTGATGCTGTGAAGGCAGTGTGTCAGAGGTACCAGCACATCTCAGCCGCAAGTACAGAACCGGACTTCCAAACGCCGGTACCAGTGGAATGTTTAGCAATTGAGGCCTCTGTCATTCCTGTAGAATTCTGTCAAGCTGATGTACTTGGGTCATGTACGTTGCCGCAAATGTCACTTCAAGATTGGGCACGTGAGCAAAGGCAAGATCCAGTCATCAGTAGAGTAATGGAGCTTGTCAAAGCAAGAAAGCGACTTCCATATAGGTTGAGGCGTCAGGAGGATCGAGAGGTCCAGTTGATGTTGAGAATAATGGAGCAACTGGTCTTCTCTGATGAAGTCCTATACCGAAAACGTATAAGTCAAGGTGAGCCTTTCCATCAGCTTGTCCTTCCGACGAAATACAGAAAGACAGCTCTAGAGAACCTTCATGATGCTGTCGGACACCTGGGTACTGACAGAACTTTGGACTTGGTTCGTGCCCGATTCTATTGGCCTCGTATGGCCATGGACGTAACTGAGAGAATCAGGACCTGTGAGAGATGTATACGGAGAAAGGCACGGGCTGAGAGAAGCGCTCCCTTGGTGAATATAAAAACAAGCCGTCCTTTAGAGTTGGTCTGTATGGACTATCTTTCACTGGAGCCTGATGGAAAAGGAACAAAGGATATCTTGGTCATTACAGACCATTTCACCAAGTATGCAGTAGCGGTTCCAACAGCAGATCAAAAGTCAAGAACAGTGGCGAAAGCTCTATGGAACAACTTTTTCATTCATTACGGATTCCCCGAGCGGTTGCACAGTGACCAAGGTCGTGACTTTGAATCAGCCCTGATCAAAGACCTGTGTATGCTACTTGGCATTAAAAAGACGAGGACAACACCTTACCACCCACGTGGAAATCCCGTGGAGCGGTTTAACAGAACACTTCTTGAGATGCTGGGTACATTAGAAGAGGGAGACAAAGTGAGGTGGAGGGAATTTGTGCAGCCCCTTGTCCATGCGTATAACTGCACTAAAAATGATACTACTGGCTATTCCCCATATCAGCTGATGTTTGGTCGCCAGCCAAGACTCCCAGTTGACATCGCTTTTGGGCTGAGCCCTGAGGGAAGCAGTAAACTATCCCACTCTGAATACGTCAAGAAGCTGACGGAGAGTCTAACTGAAAGCTATCGACTGGCCACTGAACACAGTTTGAAGAATGCTTTACAGAACAAACAGAGATTTGACAGCAAAGTGAGAGAGTCCACACTGGTAGCAGGAGACAGAGTCCTTGTGCGGAATGTCGGCATCAGAGGGAAGCATAAAATCGCTGATCGATGGAGTGAAACCATATACACTGTTGTCAAACAGATCCAAGACTCCCCTGTCTATGTCGTCATCCCAGAACACACAAGTGGACCTGAAAGAGTTTTACATAGAGACCTACTTTTGCCATGTGGATTTCTTCCATCCACTGTCAAGAAAGTATGTCCCAGAGAGTCTAAGTCCAGACAGAAACATGATCACTCACCTTTTCCTGCTGATGATAGAGCTGAAGAAGATGGAGAACTGTCTGAAGAGGAGGATGAGGCCGAGTATTACTCCGTTTACGACCAACCTTCGACTTCCACTATTGCTGAACAGGATGGAGGGATTCTACAAGAAGAAACCAGACTAAAGCAAAGCTCTCATGCTACAGAATTCACTGAAGAGGATACCCAGCTGGAAAATGAGCCTGTCGCTGGAAGTCAGGAAGCTAATGTGAGTTTTGATGTCTCCACACTGAACCCTGCAGCTCCAGCATTCGAACCTGAGGGTGTTGGAGGTGATAGAAATAGTGAGGCTATTCAAGTTCAATACTCACCTGCACCTGATATTGTGCGAGCTGAAGGAAATCCTCCTAATCTTCCTGCAACGGACCTGAGTGAGCACTGTAGTCCTAGAGATGGATCAGGAATTGGATCGGTGTTGACAGAGGAAAGTGGAAATGTAAAAGAACACAACAAGGTTGCCCCTGAAGAAGAGGTGGCGTTGAGAAGATCCTCTAGGGATAAAACAGCTCCCAAAAAGCTGACCTACCCAACTTTAGGGAACCCATTAGTCACAGTTATGCACTCCATTTTAACTGGGTTAGACCAAGCTTTCTCCCAAACCCTTTCCCTTGACACTGTACCTTACATATGTAATTTAACACCCTTAGCATCTGAAATAGTGTAGCGTGCAACATGCAAGGATGCATGTAGATTAAGGTGGGGAGGATGTAACCCACTTGAAAATAGCCTACTAGCAGGATTACGTTATTCTACTTTAATATCTGATTTCTTGATTACTTTTAGTTATGTTTTCCCTGCACACCGTATTTGTCCAGTAGATGGCAGTGGTGGCGCTGCATAGAGAGGAAAACTGCTACACTGATTCTCGGAGAAGAATACAGAAATCGCGAACAGCAGAACGATAGAGCTGAAGCCCTATTTTGATTTTCCACACTGAGTAATAAAGTAAAAAATATCACATTTAAGAGCTAGTTAAAAGGGTTTTTCCCACCAAACCCACTTCTAAGGCGGAAATAACCGAGCAAAGGGTCGAAATTACGACAAGGAGTTTATCTACTTTATGATTTTTTCTCCGGTTGGTTTTTTTGGATGCATGATTTGAGAGGGAGTTCCATTGGACGAATTCACCATCGGACACGCGAGGCAGAAGAGCAGAGGGCGCAAATGACCAACTTGCCTGCAACACGAACTGCTTCTACTCACCATTTCTTCATTGCATCGTACAGATAAGCGCAAGATCTCACCCCACTTAAAAAAAAACATACTACCCGGGTAGATGGACTTTGGTTTATTATTTTGAGGTTATTTAATCAGAGCTCTGAATTTATTTTATTTCATATTGTCCCAACTTGTGTGAAAAAAAGTTGAAACTAAGAGAAACACTGATTTTCACAACTAAAAGGACATTACAAAGAAAAGATAAACAAGGTCATACTGGTTGATATTCGATGTTCAATAAATGCCGGCTATATGTTCTGAGTAAACTATTTTGGTACTTTCATTTGTCTACTCCTCTTGTGAAAAGTTCCTTAGAAAGGTAGCACTTCACTCTACATTATAATAAGTGCCCCTTACAAATGGATAGACAGATGGATGGATAGACAGATAGATGGATAGAAGGACGGATAGAAAGTTAGATATATAGATGGATAGACAGATAGATGGATGGATGGATAGACAGATAGATGGATGGATATATGGATGGATATATGGATGGATAGATGGATGGATGGATAGATAGATGGATGGATGGATGGATATATGGATGGATAGATGGATGGATAGATGGATGGATAGATGGATGGATGGATAGATAGATGGATAGACAGATGGATGGATAGACAGATAGATGGATA